ACGTAACATGTTGCTCGAATGTCAAATGTAATTACAATGTAACTAAGCTGGAAAGCAGTAGTTTGTTAATATTACCTATACATTCGACATTAAAAAGGAAAAAAGGTGTCACTCTACAAAGTTTGATTAATGTAGAATTTTCTAAATGGGAAACGATAAACGGCAATTGTAACGAATGTAAGGGCACCGTGTTGAAAAAGAAAACCGTAATCGAATCAACTTTATCCGTCGTAGTAATACAGCTCAATTTATATACTTTTGTAAACGGTGCTTCTAAAAAATTATCAACAATCGGATTACCGCCGTGCCGACGAGTAATATCACGATTAATAAAAAAAGTACAAGCTAATAAGCGCTATATTTCACGAAGGTGAAGAAATGAATCGTGGTCACTACACGTGTATGTTGAGAGCTGACACAAAATCGGAATGGTATTACTCTAATGATATGGAAGTGTTCAAGAAAAAATGGCCCAAAGGAGCACAAGGGGCATACATATTGTTCTTAGAACAGATTAAATAATGGCGCTGTATAAAGGCTGCCGTAAACGCTACATTAAAACATCAACTGTTCTAGCGCTGTATAAAAGTTGCCGTAAGCGCCAAAATAAAATATCGGCTGCTCTGGCGCTTTATAAAACTGCTGTAAGCGCTGCATTAAAACGAGTGCAATAAGTTTCTAATTTGACCTAGGCTTCATGACATTTCAAAAAGTATCATCAAGAAAAAAATTATCAGACAGAAATATGTATGTCGTGTTAAAATCGGAGAGACGAAGAAAAATATATGGTTGCGTTCTCACGAGAATGGGCGATGGAGGGGCCCATTCTTTATTTTCAATATTCATACAAGAATATAAATTCATTCTGTTGCAATTGAAATAAATGTGCAATGTATCGTTAAAAGTTATTACAATTATACAAACATTTACATATATGATTAAATAAAATATATATGTATACTATAATATAATTATATATTTTATATATGTACATATATACCATATATTTCAATTATTTTGAACTGTATTGCATAAATTGTTACTTATACAAAGTTATGTGATAAGAATCGAAAATACATATATTTGTAATACTTGAATTACTAGAAAGCTGCTCTATATATCTGTACTTTAAAAAGTAAGTGATATCCTAAAAAAATCATAAAAATGAAAAGGTCAGGCCATGTTCAAAAGAAGGTACTCAAAAATTTAAACGATCTAATAATAAATTATCACGAAAAGTAACTGATATGTTATTCAAGGTGCCAGTTCAAAGTGAACATACGTAAAGTGTATATTATCTAAATTTAGTAATAATATATTACCATGAAAAGTAACTGTGATATTTTATTCAAGGTGCAAGTTCACATTGAATATACATACATATAAGTAAAACTGATTACAATTTGATTCTAGAAAATAAGTGCGATATGTTATTCTTAGTGCACAAAATATAATAGTCGTTTATAGAGATTTGATTTGAAATTCATACTAGCCCGTACAATGAAAAATAATTGCTCGTAATTCCAGAGTACCAATTTGTTAATGACTCAGAAAAATAACATGGCGGCCTGCTCTCAAAAAACTTTCGATGGGTAGAATAAATAATTGAAATAAGAGTTGTGAAAATTGTATAAATTAAAAACCTCCAATCTTTCTTTAGTAAAATTTCGAATTTTCGTATCAACTTCCGATTTGTGTTATACCGTATTTTCGGGGAGTAAGTTATTGATCAGAAAACTTTGCCTTGTTGCTCGAAACGGGTGTATATTAAGTAAAATTTATAAATGTACAGTTCTCAGGTCAACTACAATAAAGCTATACGCTCAAAAAGTTTACTGATTATTTGTCGTAATATACAATAAAAAATTACATATTAATTATTCAAGATACAAGTGAGAAATAAATATCATTAAAATATACAAAAAAAATTTATCAATTTGACTCTGAAAAGTAAGTGACATGGTTCTCAAAGTGCAAGGTTTCATTTGACTTACAATTTTCTTCAGAAACACAGAAGAAAAAGGTATTTGTATATAGTTTTGTATATTCACTTCGTTGTGTGTGCAGAGCTTTTAAAAATACGTTGAATCCTTATTCTAATCTAATCTTCTTCTAATGTAATACTTTTTGTATTTCAAATGTTGTAGTAATTATTCTGTAAGAGCTTTGACATTATTTCTAAATGGACATCGAGAAACATCATAGTTTTTTGAGAGCAGGCCGCCATGTTATTTTTCTGAGTCATTAACAAATTGGTACTCTGGAATTACGAGCAATTATTTTTCATTGTACGGGCTAGTATGAATTTCAAATCAAATCTCTATAAACGACTATTATATTTTGTGCACTAAGAATAACATATCGCACTTATTTTCTAGAATCAAATTGTAATCAGTTTTACTTATATGTATGTATATTCAATGTGAACTTGCACCTTGAATAAAATATCACAGTTACTTTTCATGGTAATATATTATTACTAAATTTAGATAATATACACTTTACGTATGTTCACTTTGAACTGGCACCTTGAATAACATATCAGTTACTTTTCGTGATAATTTATTATTAGATCGTTTAAATTTTTGAGTACCTTCTTTTGAACATGGCCTGACCTTTTCATTTTTATGATTTTTTTAGGATATTATATATATAAACCAATTTGTTGCAATATTCACTATAAAAGGTTGTAAGGGTAAGATGGCTAAAAGTGAATAATTTAAAAGATAGTTAACATAATTTTACATAAACTGAAATATTTCATAAAATAAAATATTTGTAATATTTCGAAGTTTATGTAAGATTATGTAAAAATTATACCTTTACAACTTTTTATAGTAAATATTGCGAGGAATCGATTTATATGAGAAAAATTAAGGTAATTCTATTTTGAAAATATAAGTGACCTTTAAATAAGCTTGAAAATCGCCGTTTAGGAAAAAGTCTGTGTCAACTTTTTCTTTTTCGAAATCCTGCAACTTTTATCTAAATTTAATAGAAAATGTATAAAAAATGCTCGACATTAGTACAAACACACACACACATATACACACACACACACACACACACATATGGGTAAATTTATATAAATAGGGTGCTTTAGGAGGAATGATCAGGATTCTAGGATATGATTGTATACATCATTTTAAGCAAAGAAGTTTAGATAAACATGTTTAATAATTGTTCTATTCCGTTCATAAAAATATACAAAAATGAATGATATAATCTCTAAAAACTCACCTTTAAAAAAAGGTAAAAAAAGGCGACCAGTTAAGGGCACGCCATTAACAAAAATTATCCATTGCAAACCCATGTAGAATCCTATCCTATTGCAAACCCATGTAGAATCCTATGAAAAATTAATCATTGCAAACCCATGTAGAATCCTAGGCAAAATTAACCATTGCAAAACCATGTAGAATCGTACCCATTGCAAACCTATGTAGAATCCTATGAAAAATTAACCATTGCAAACTCATGTAGAATCCTATGAAAAATTAACCATTGCAAACCCATGTAGAATTGTATTAAAAATTATCCATTGCAAACTTATGTAGAATCCTACATTGCAAACCCATGTACAATAGAATTGTATGAAAAATTATCGATTATAAACCCATGTACAATCGTAACAAAAGTAATGAAATAAAAAAAAATTGCGCCAAGTGAAAGTAGAAACTTGTACCAGTGGAAAATTAAAGTTGCAGACATATATAGAGTCGTATAATGAATCAGTAAAAATTTAAATTTGCAAATGTAGAATCGTACCATAAAAAAACTTATCTTTTAAAAAAAAAGATAAACAAGATGCCAAGTCCATGCGCCATGTGAAAAAGAAATAAAAAAATTTAGTTAAAAAAACTGGGAGCGCTGCTAAATAATATTCTAACAATATTAAAATTAAATTGTTACTTTTAACTCATTACAGTTAAAATATGTTTTGTGTTTAAATTAATTAATGTTACTTTAAGGTGCATTGTAATTTTGAAACTTAGCAGCGCGCCCAGTTTTTTTAACTAAAATTTTTTTATTTCTTTTTCACATGGCGCATGGACTTGGCATCTTGTTTATCTTTTTTTTTAAAAGATAAGTTTTTTTATGGTACGATTCTACATTTGCAAATTTAAATTTTTACTGATTCATTATACGACTCTATATATGTCTGCAACTTTAATTTTCCACTGGTACAAGTTTCTACTTTCACTTGGCGCAATTTTTTTTTATTTCATTACTTTTGTTACGATTGTACATGGGTTTATAATCGATAATTTTTCATACAATTCTATTGTACATGGGTTTGCAATGTAGGATTCTACATAAGTTTGCAATGGATAATTTTTAATACAATTCTACATAGGTTTGCAATGGTTAATTTTTCATAAGATTCTACATGAGTTTGCAATGGTTAATTTTTCATAGGATTCTACATAGGTTTGCAATGGGTACGATTCTACATGGGTTTGCAATGGTTAATTTTGCCTAGGATTCTACATGGGTTTGCAATGATTAATTTTTCATAGGATTCTACATGGGTTTGCAATAGGATAGGATTCTACATGGGTTTGCAATGGATAATTTTTGTTAATGGCGTGCCCTTAACTGGTCGCCTTTTTTTACCTTTTTTTAAAGGTGAGTTTTTAGAGATTATAATGATGACGGGGACGTTTCTTAATAGAAATTTTTCATATTTCGACTTTGCATTTATATATCTCTGCTTACAAATCACGTAGAGCAGAAATAAAGACACTTTTATTATATAATTCGAACTCAATCTATCGATTAAGTCTAGTATAAACTCGATTGCTTCAGCCATTATTGAGGATTCGAAATTTTATAAAGACTCAAATGTCCGACTCGCGTTAAGATACACGGTGTCTCCGCTACGCCCTTAACTGGTCGCGAGACACTACCGTGTCTCTTGATTCGTCCTATGTTCTCTTATTTAATATTTAATTTTCCAATATATATATATTTTTTTTTCTCCATTGCGAGCAGTGCATTTTTATTTTTTCTTTCTCGATTATTCTTTTACTTTCTATTCTTTTGCGATGCTCTCTTCCTCCTGTCTTCTCGATTTCTCTTTCTCTCTCGCCCCTTCTCTTTTTCAAGATCGACACAATCCAATACATCTTTTACAAAATTCTAGTATTTGTGCTGAACATACACAATAGCTGTTTCCTAATTGGTTGGTCCCTCTCTTCGTCAGGCTTGTGCCTAGGCTGGGGAGGGGAAATGATGAGATGCACAGGATGAAAAATTTGGCTCCGGCACATTCTATGGTGTACAGCGTTCTGTCTATGTCATATCTTCTGTCGTGCAAATTCTGTGTATTATTACAGTGTGTTCCTCTATCATATAATATCTGCTAATTTATTCGTCACTTGAATTTCGTTCGACAAACAAAACTCCAAGAATATAATAATATAAATATTGTAATACACTCGGTGTAATTGATTTAATCGATCAAGAACTATGAATGTCCATCCAGGAGGCACACTAAAAGAAATACTCGTTGATAGAAATATTATGATATGGGATCCAATTAAGGAAAAACTATTATCTCCCGGAAAATGCATGGAGATCAATTGTGCTTTCGGCCAGACGACTAAAATGGTCTTGCTGCCGCATCTACATCACGAATCTCTACATTAATAGGTAAGCATTTAAAAAAAAAAAGTATTATATAAAAAATATATATAAAATAAATTTAAACGGAATTATTTCTTAATTCTCAATTGTTACTTCAAGGTACCGATAGTTCGGAAGTTATGATAGAATACGCGAGAAGAAAATACACTGGCGAAAGAATAGATTTCGATATATTGGATATTCAAGCGGAAAATCTACCCGAGCAATATATAGGTCAATTTGATCACGTTTTCTCATATTCCACCATAAATTCACGTAATAATGTTCTGTAAGTATAAATTAAATATTATATAGTTAATTATTTCCACGATACAGCACTTTTTTAAATATATTTTCGACATTTATGCGGAATATTTGAAAAATAATCATATTTAGAAAACAAAAATTATTTAGATTATCGTGTTATTATCAAAATAGGATCAGCTTGAAATAAATTTCGTAGTCTAAAAATTTTCCAATAAATACGTAACTTTTAGAAAATAACTTCTTTTTTGTTTATTTAATAGGCAAGAAATTAAAAATGTATCTAAACTACTGAAACGTGGAGGGTGCTTCCATTTGACAATGGTCCTCGCACATGACGCATTTGGATTGTATAATAAAATGCTGAATCATCCAATTTATGGAAAATATTTTATGGTATGTATCCGTTAATATATTTTAAATATGTACTATTTTCTAACCACCTGTTACATATTTTTAATTATTATTTTTATATTTTTATGTCACATGCAGAAATACGTTTCAGATTTTCATTATTATCACGTTAATGCCGATGGTTACTTAAGACAATTGATTGAATTCCAAGGATTTAAAATAAAGTACTGTCAAACAAAGGATATAATATATAAATCTAATTACATTTTACGTAAGTATTTTTATTTTATTATAAATGATAAGATCTTAATTAACAAATTAAATTTTTTTTAAATTAAGCTATTTAACAGTAATGTGTGATGAAAAAGTCACTAACATAATTACTCTTTTATGTGCAAATCTTTCATGAGAATTTATTTATTTCAGCGCATATCGTCTTTGAGCTTCCTTCCATACATGAACTGACACCTGAACAACAGCAAGACCTTAAGGACATATTAAAAAAGAAATGGAACAAAATGGAAAAAAAGTTTGATCGATCTTCATATGCCAATGACCCAAAATATGACCCAGAATGTAACGATTTATTCGATATTGTACAAATATTAGCATATAAATCGTAATACCTGTTAGATTTTTATAATGATAGAGTTAATTAACTATTCTATCTATCTATAATATAAAACATATTCTTTATGTATTTATAATGTAATATATATTTATATGAGCAATATTTTTATGTACAATACATAAAGAATGTAATTGTACGTATACAGTATATCATATCTCTGTATAATATATTTATGATTGTATATGTATAATAAGTTTATTAATAATACTAATTTTTTAATAATAAAACATATATATAATTTATATTTAAAACAAATATAATTTTATTGATCACCAAAAGTCAATCTTAAATTATATTATCTACACATTTAATTGTAAGAATTTTATTTATTAAATTTATCTAATAGAATAAAATAAAATAAATTAAAATTAATATTGGACGCTAGTGGTGAAAATAAACTTGGTAAAATTAATTTTGACGTAACTAGCAATTTTATTCAATAAATTTACGACGTTTCGACCATTTGGTTGTGGTCCTTATCAAGTGAGAATTTTATAACACAATATTTCACAATAGTTTTTAACAATGTTGTAACATACAAGAACATATTTAAATATTAAATTATAACAACAAACATACCCATCAATTAAAATGCGATTAACGCAACATAAAACCGATCTTATTTAAAATTAATAGTTAAAAGAGGAACACGTCTCATCTCCATGATGTTTCGTCAACGACTGAGTTTGAAACGCACCACTAAACAATCTTTATTATCTTTTCGTAGATATTTGTCAAATTCTCAGTGTCTTTCTGTAGGTTAACAATATTATCATGCTTCTTTATGAAGAACATTTCAGCAATCTCTCTCTTTCTTACATGTTTTTCATTGTGCAAAATGGTCTGTGATTTCCAATTAAAATCATGTTCAAAATCAAATCTGTGTTTACTTACAACCGAATGATTAGACTCATGTAATTTAATATTGCTACCATGTTTCTTCACTCTAGTGCATAAATGTCTTTTCGTTTGTCCAATGTACGAGGCATTACAATTTTCACAATTAATCTTGTACACCACATTCGTTTTTATATCATTAATTATTATTAAATCTTTACCTCGTTTTATCAGCCTATTCAACCTTTTTGGCTAACTATAAACGACATTTAAGTTAGCATTTTTAAGTGACCTTTTAATACTATCGCTAACGTCTTTTACATATGGAAGTGGAACCACATGATTCTTATCTTGAATCGAATTAAAATTATCATTATTATCCAAACCACTATTCACATTATCAATATTATTTGCATTATGACGATTAACATCCCTATTATTATATTTAGTACATTAATTTTTTTTTTTAATTTACGCATGAAATAGAGACCAATTCTTCTATTGATTTTTTGAATTCCACAGTTATTCGCAATGGGAATTAATTGACAACTAATTGATTTAGAAAATCTGCGTGCTCTGGCAGATACATTAATTTTCTCTCGAGTCATTCTATTAAGTATAAAATTAATACGATTTATAATTTAGTAGACCATGCAATTTTACTTTCAAACGAACAATTTTACAATACTAATATTAAGATTGTAAAGAACATTTTAATTAATAATTGCTTTCCGGATCGTGTGATTAATCCCAGCAAACACGAATATATAGTAGTTATATTATTATAATAAAACAAAATATAACACAAAGTGATAAATATAAGGCCAACTTATCGAGCTGAATATTCGAGATGTTCAGTCAACTACCATTTATTACATGTATAAATTATAAAACTACAGTCATTATATTATATTAAAACTAACGCAAATTAACGCAAATTACAATCATTCTATAAACGTTTCGACCGCACGCGGTCTTCTTCAGTATAATTATTGAAAAATAAATTCTTACAATTCACATGATATCGAAATTTAATTATAGTTATTCAGAATCGAGAGTTTTGAGCAATTAACGCGTGTTTCAATCCGTCCTGTCCAACAATGTTCGCCTCGATATGATCTCTGATTTTGTTCAGATCTCGGATGATTTCATCGTTAATATGCGAGAAATTAACCCGTACCGTAGGCGCTGCGATTAATAAGAAATTACCGATCAACGTATGTCCAAATTATAATATATATCCCCTACAATTGGTAGTATGCTTACCTATCATCGTTCTTCTTGACAATTTTGCTACTTATTAACAGTTATTAAGGATGACACTTAACAAACAACAATACAGAAAGACAGCTCATTTTAAACTCTACTTGATCGGAGAGCGTGCGTGTTTATATATGATCTAATATCTATGTTTTACTCGTTAATGTCCTATTTGTCCTATTATTATTTATTGTTCGCTAATATATCCAAAATATCAAAATACGACTCGCTAAGTAACTCAGTATCTTTGTTTAAATTTAGTCCATTTTTTTGTTCCTTGATATGTAGCATCTCAGAAATGAGTCTTTTATAATAATTATTTTCGTTGTCCATGATCTTAACATTGTCCCAATTAAAAGTATGATGTTCATTTATTATGTGTAAAATATAACACGCAATATAACACAAATGTACTATGTTATATAGACGTTACGAGTAATTTCCTACTCACATAAATTACAGTTATATAACATTAATGTAACATACAAATAACATGTTATGTAATCTTCCAAAAAGTTATTAAATGGTTATGTAGCATGTATAAAAATTTGGAAAAAGTTATATAACTATAATTTGAAATAAACAATGGTGTTACTAAATAGTTATATTTGTAATGTAGTTTGTTACTAAATAGTTATATATTTGTAATGTAGTTTGTTACTAAATAGTTATATATTATATTTAGAATAATTACTTTAAGGACTTGTTACAAACGCGAATACTATACAAATTTTTTAATTAATTTCAAACAAAATTAGATAAATGCAATTTTATTTGGAATTACCTAAAAAATTTGATTTTGTATTTGCGTTTGTAACAAGTATGTGTAAAATAAAAGTTTTATTATATTTTGTAAGGTGCAAATAAGAATATATATATTTGTTTTAAGTATAGAAAAGTATAGAATCGAAAGGATCTGAATAGTTCAGTTGGAAGAGCAGTCGCCCGGCAAGCGAAAGGTCTCGGGTTCGATTCCCGATTCAGCGACTTTCGGATCTATATTTTTCTCTTGCATTTACTTATTTTCCGTAGGGGGGTGAAAGGGTTATTGAAATTAAATCTCAAATATGAGATTATTTCATATTTTAAATCTTGGCCGTGACCAAGTAAAATTTGGTGCCTTGTGCACAGATACTTAATCCTAACGAAAAATTTAGTTTCGTTAGGATAACGCACTGTCATCCGCGAGTTGGCTCTTACTGCCTGTCTTATATCTTTAAAATTTATATTTATATTTGTTTTTATATAAACAAATTTTTTTTATTTCAGACTAGTAATATTAAAATTACTGAACACAAAATTGTATATATATATTTTTTTCTTACTTGTTATATTCTAAATAGCAAAGTATAAAAATTAAAAAACTATAAAGCTTATGGAATATAGCAACATATATAAATATAATTATATTAATATTTTGTATTATATAAGTACATCTATATGTAAATATATTAACATTTTTGGTATATCTATCACATTTCTAAATTTTACTTTTATAAATTGTAAATAAAAACAATTTTCTTTTTCTTGGAAAAACTTAAACCAAAAGATAATGCTTTAAAAAAAACAAAATTTTCTTTAATTAGAGAATCTTTGAAAATAAAATTGAAATAAATGTTTTGAAAATAATAATTAATTACAATTTAATCATGATATAACAGGTAAGGGTTTAAGCACGGTAAATAGTGCGCAATGAAAAATTTTGTACAGACAAATGTACGCTAAATTGCTTCGGGAAGGGTATTCGCAATAATTTTAATAACATTTTTCTTGCACACTTACCGCGTTTACGTTCTTACTTGTCATATCGTTTAAATTGTTATTATAAAAACCTGTTTTAAATCTAATTATTTTTCTTATTTTATTCCTGTGCTCCTTTTTCTTCCCTCTGCTTCCTCTGCTTAGCGAAACGTAGCCATTCCACCACAATATTGTCGAATTCAGCTTCTTTAAAGAAGAGTGCAGTAGAGTAATGTCTCCTAAAAAGAATAATATATAGTTAAACAAGAAATTAGGATTTGTATCAATGTTCTGCAAAGCCTGGAGCATGCTGTAAAACAAGATATTTAGATAATATCATTTAAATACATTAAATATCATGTTTATTATGAATAGCAATAAACATTACATCTAATTAAATAATATGCAATTAAACAGAGCTATAAGTACCAATAATCAGCTTTTATAAATCTGTTTCACTGCATATTTTTTATTAGATATAAATGTTTATCGCTAGATAAAACCAGTCAATAGGCACAATTATTACAAATATTTGTATCAGTTACTTACTTCTTTTGATGAAACAGCTGCCATTTATAAACTGTAATACAGAGAACAGCTTTGAAGCAAAATAAAATCAAACTCGCTAACCAATTTAGGCAAGCGTTGATTTGTATCAATGTTCTACAAAGCCTGGAGTATGCTGTAAAACAAGATATTTAAAATACATTAATATCAACACATATAATATCATTTAAATACATTACATATCATGTTTATTATAAATAGCAATAAACATTACATCTAATTAAATAATATGCAATTAAACAGAGCTATAAGAACCAGCTTTTATGAATCTGTTTCACTGCATATTTTATTTATTAGATGTAAATGTTCATTGCTAGATATAACCAGTCAATAAGCACAATTATTACAATAGTTTTTCTTTCATTTATTTACATGTTCTCACAACACGCTTCGATAAAACAGTTGCAAGCAATGATTCATGTTTAGTATTCTATGCAGCAAGGAAAACGCTACAAGATATTTTTAAAAAATTATCGAAATTTGCACATAATTATAGTTTATAATTTAAATGAATATAAAAGCTAATTTATCCACCTTAAAATGTAACAAAATAGCATATTATATATGAAGAAGTTATATTGGCACGTAGAGCATAACCTATTTTTTGGACAACAGTTTTGTAAAATTTAGAACAAATATTAATAAAAAAGAATATTATAGATCAACAATCGAAA